TGCCCAGCCATCTGCCCCCTTTTATAGTGCCCAGCCATCTGCCCCCTCCATTTACTTTACTTACCTTTTACTTCTTTCTTTCTTTTACTTCTTTCTTCTTGCTCCTCTCCGCGGCGTCCGCGCGCTCCTCTGATCCCTGGAGATGTCGGGCGGACGTCACGTGATGACGTCACGTCCGACACCCAGGGAGCAGTGCGGGGCAAGAAGAAGTCGGGCCAGGTCCCGGAAGGTAAGTAAATTTTTTATTTTTTTTAACTTGAGCCATTTTTAAAATGAATTTACTCCGTGCAGGCACGGAGTAAATTCATTGAAAAAAAAATGGGGGAGGCTGCAAGGCTGGCGGCGGCACCACGGGCCATCAGACGAGGTCTGGCGGGCCGGATTTGGCCCGCGGGCCTTGTGTTTGACACCCCTGCCCTAGAGGATGAGCATAAAAGACTTGAAAAAGAGCTACAGAAAATGCCACAGAAAAAGGACATCAAGCTAAAAATGGATGTAATTAAACACAAAATGGGTCAAATAGAAAAAGAAGAATTAGCACAGAAAATTAGAGGTGCTAAACAGAACTACTTTGAAAACGCAAACAAACCAGGTAGATGGTTAGCATACAAATTGAGAAAGAATCAAGGAAAATATTGCAATTAATAGATGACCAAGGCCAAGTTTGCCATGGTAGCAAAGAGAAGAAGGAAATCATTCAAGACTTCTATGGGAAATTATATATGCAAGAGAATATGATGAGGAAAGAGTTAAGCAGTACTTACAGAATGCTAATTTACCTCAGATACCTAAAGAGACTGAAAAAATGTTAGAAAGCAATATAATGATGATGGAGTTAACTGAAGCAACCAAGAAGCAAAATAATGGAAAGGCACCAGGCCCAGATGGACTTCCGGCAGAATTTTATAAAACATTACAAGAATCGTTGAATCTTCCATTGCTAGAAGTTATGAATGAAGTTATGTTAAAGAAGAAGATACCTAAATCATGGTCAGAAGCCTATATTACACTTATTCCAAAAGAGGAGGCCAACCCATTACAAATTAAGAACTATAGACCCATTTCTCTACTAAATGCAGATTATAAAATCTTTGCTTCAATATTGGCAGAAAGACTTAAAAAATATTTAAATAATTGTATTCATCCTAATCAAAATGGATTTCTGCCAAAGAGACAAATTAAAGAGAATATGAGAGTAATCTTGGATACTTTGGAATACTACGAGGCACATCCTGAAAAACAAATGGCTCTGATATTTCTAGATGCACAGAAGGCATTTGATAATGTGAATTGGCAATTCATGTTATTACTGTTGGAACAGATGGGTTTTGCTAGAAAATTTATTCAAGCAATAGAAGCTGTATACTATAAGCAAATGGCAAAGGTAATGATAGAGGGAGAACTGACAGACTCTATCAATATAAGAAAAGGAACAAGACAAGGGTGCCCACTATCACCTTTGTTGTTTGTGTTAACTTTGGAAGTGTTAAACAGACATATTAGAGATGAAAAGAATATAAAAGGAATGAAAATCAAAAAGGAAGAATTTAAGCTGCAAGCATTTGCGGATGATCTGGTTTTCATCTTAGAAGACCCTTTAAAACAGGGGTCTCAAACTCAATTTACCTGTGGCCGCTGGAGGCAGAGGCTGGGTGAGGCTGGGCCGCATAAGGGATTCCACAAAAAACGTTGTTAAAAAAATATCCTCAAATGTCATCAACAGTTAATGATTTCTCCAATACATGAACTGTCCTGAACACATGAATGGAACATTGAATGAAGATCATGAACAGTTCCTCAGAACATGGCTTCTCCAGCTTACTCCTTGCTGCCAGAGACTTGACAAAGCTTCCTCTCACATATCTGAGCCACATTTGGCTTGAGAGAGGAGGCACTTGAGACCCTCAGTATGGCTTGAAGATGATCATCAGTAAGTCTGGACCTGTAATTGGACTTGTTAAAGTTCAGAGTGGAGAAGGAGCCATGACGAGGAACGGCGGGCGGGACTTCCTTCAGAGGTCCATTCCCCCTGCGGGCCGCACTAATATTATACTTTCATATCACGGTGGGGGCCACAGGATATTGTCCTGCGGGCTGCAATTGGCCCGCGGGCCGCGAGTTTGAGACCCCTGCTTTAGAAACAGCATCAAAATTGATAGAAAAGATAGAGACATATGGAAAGGTGGCTGGTTTGAAAATAAATAAAGATAAGACAAAGATTTTGACAAAGAATATGCTATTAAGACAAAAGGAAGAACTGGCAGATCTATTGAAAATTCAGGTCACGAATAAGATCAAGTACTTGAGGATATATTTGACAGCAAGATGTAGTACATTAAAAGAGAATAATTATATTAAACTTAAACAGCAGATAGCGCTAGATTTGGCGAAATGGAAAAACTTACAACTGTCACTAATAGGGAGAATTTCAACAATCAAGATGAATATATTACCCAGAATTTTATATTTGTTTCAAACAATTCCAATTAGGCTTGGAAAAGACTACTTTGAAGATTTAAATAAAATTGTGTTGAAATATATATGGCAAGGTAAGAAAGCGAGAATAAAGTTAAAACTTTTGCAAGATGCTAGAATTAGAGGAGGATTTGGTTTGCCTAATTGGGAGTTGTACTACCAAGCTACAAATCTGATGTGGGTTAAGGAATGGATAACACTAAGAAATACTAGATTGTTGACATTAGAAGGACATGATTTGTTGTTGGGGTGGCATGCTTTTTTATGGTACAAATGAACTAAAACACAGGGGTATTTTAGAAGACATTATATACGGGAGTCTCTGTGGTTAAACTGGGAGAAGATTAAAAGACAATCTTATTTGAAAATTCCAGTCTGGTTATCGACTATTGAAGCATTTTCGTATCCTATAATATACAAAAAGGAACAAACAGATATGGTGAAATATTGAATGAAAAGGGTGAACTTAAATGCTGGGTTGTTGCCCTCCTACGGCCTCCTCCACGTCTCCTGATGTATGGCCTGTCTCCTGGTGGCGCCTCCATGCTCTGGACACTATGTTGACAGACACAGCAAACCTTCTTGCCACAGCTCGCATTGATGTGCCATCCTGGATGAGCTGCATTACCTGAGCCACTTGTGTGGGTTGTAGACTCCGTTTCATGCTACCACTAGAGTGAAAGCACCGCCAGCATTCAAAAGTGACCAAACCATCAGCCAGAAAGCATAGGAACTGAGAAGTGGTCTGTGTTCACCACCTGCAGAACCACTCCTTTATTGGGGATGTCTTGCTAACTGCCTATGCTTTCCACCTTTCCATGTGAAATTGATTGTCAATCAGTGTTTTTACCTAAGTGGAAAGTTTGATTTCACAGAAGTGTGATTGACTTGGAGTTATATTATGTTGTTTAAGTGTTCCCTTTATTTTTTTGAGCAGTGTATATTGAATCAACTATGCATTATGCAGAAAGATTTTTAATATTACATTTGGACTTGGATTTTCTGAGTTAAAGAAACTGATGCATAATTAAAATCCATCTTCACCCTGGATTTGGAATAATGCAGAAAGCAAATGAAATTTTGATTTTTAAAAATAAATATAATGATAAAATCTAAAATAATCTTATTCAGAGAAGTTTAAAGAATTCTTGTTTGTTATTTTTCTAGATTTAGAACATAAAGTGCCCCGAGTTCTCAAGATGTCATACCAAAATGTCGGTGTGTTAATGGTTCTCTGCTTGTAAATAGTTACATTTGTATTGTTCAACTAAAGATTTATAAATTAATACAAATCTTTAGTTGAAGAACAATATTTTACACAGATCAGGAGCATTCTAAAAGTCATATAATAACCTAGTGCCTAGTAAAATAGAATTTTACTTTTGAAGCAGTGCTTTTATATATTGCTTAAAAATCATAACACATTGGACCGATCAAGTAATCTATGTGGCCATTAAAATAAAGTCATGTAATTTTCTATAACCCTTCCATTGTTCTTATTATACTGGACTAGCATAAAAACCTACATCTGACATCATTATCCAAAGTTTGTGCTATAACACAAAATAATAAATATGCCATACCTATGCCTATAATACAAAATATTTACAGCGCTTTCTAAATGAATAATGCTATGATTTCAGCATAAAGAACTTTGGAAATATTAATTGGAAATATTCCACAATTAATAGAGTTGCAATGTAAATTATAGCTGTTACTACAACTTTCTAGGCACTGTTGCCAAACAACTATTTTAGATCTACAAATAATTTTGGTTCCACAGAGTAAACATGAAAAAAAAGGAAAAATTCTAGTGAAGCAAATTTTCAAATCCAAAGTATTTGAGATTTTTTACTCGGCTTAGTACTCATACTTAGCAGATTTGAGGTTTTCACTCCCAAGAAATACATTGCACAACAAAATTCATCCTCCCTTCCCTTAAATTCCAAGGATAAAGTATTTTTTTTAATGTACAAGGCAGCGATTTTATGTTATCATTCTAGAAGGCATTGAAAAAGGAGTAAGGCTCTTTACAAATATTCACTGCTGCCACATACCAGGCTTATTAAAAGTTAAAAGAAGTTGCCAATGATATTTCAACTATACATTATATAGCTTCATTTACTCTTTTGGTTTGTTGATCTTTTTTTTTTAATCTCAAAATATCCATCAAAATGCTAGACTCAAAAATTGTTCTGCTAAAATGGACAGTAAAACAAACAGGATTTTCGAGGTTTATCTATTTAAAAATACCCAGATTTTTATTCCAAAATTTTTAGTACTTGTTCCCTATTCCCCCCCCAACCCCAGAACTTCAGCATAGATCAATATAATAAAGGGGAATTAGCTGCTGTGCCCTGTTTGGAATTATTATATATTTAAATTAATTAAAATATTGATATTACAGAACTAGTTGCACTTATCAAACTGCCTTACTATAGTACATCACTATATAAATAATTATGCTAAGAATGAAATGATTATTTTTGTATATATGGCCGATGAAATCTTAGATAATCTTCCATAATTTATCAGAAAAATCAATTAAAGATAATAATAGAAACTACTGGAAATTTTAGGTCATTGTGTTGTGGCAGCATAAAATGTTTTGTAAAAAAAACATCCTTAATTACTATTAGATTAACTTGTATTGAGAAATATAAATGTGTTCAAATGGTTGTAATAAAATGATAAAATGCCAAAAAATATAATTAAATTTATACTAAAGAGTATCTTTATAGAAATAATGTGAGTTCTTCTTTATTGTAACCATGGCATTTTAATTTTATTTTTGGGTGATTCTCTAGAAGAAACTCTTCCCTCAAATATGAATGCAGTAAAGTCATTCTCAAACGATGTGCCAAAATACCCAGGAACATCAGTGGCTTTCCAAAGTGTTGGAATGATCGGTGGCAAGAGTGATGCAGCAGATAACGATCTAATTCATGAAGCAATAGCATCTAATGAGACTATAAATAGTGTGGCAGCTAAAATGTTTGTAGTAAAACCACTTGATGAATTTGAAACCAACCAAATACCTGACATGCTAGAGTATCAGAATGATTATTTTTCTATAGATACATCTGTAAATGAGGAGAATAATACTTTGCCAGAAGAACTTTTCACAGCTCTAAACACCTTGACAGAATCTGTAGTTGCAGTAGAAGGCAGAACTGGATCAAGCACAACAGTGAAGCAGCTAACACCCGAACAGGCAGGTGATGATGCCACAGAAATAATAAAAACTGATTTGAAATCTCAGTGTTATTTGCAATGCCATGAAGAACCAAAAACTGTAATGATAGCCAAGATGTCATGCACTTCAGGCGAACAGGTATGTACATACATGCATACATACATACATACACACAGTATATATAGAGAGAGTGTGTGAGAGTGTTATTAGGAAACATTTTCATCTTATGTTCACAAGTTTATATTCTTACATCAGCAATGTATATTTTATATCTTGTTATCTCAGAGTACTGGCTAAAAAATATTTTTCCAGAACCCTCCTTGGGCTTTGCCAAAATGTTTCCTGGGGATTGGGAATTTAGTCTGCATCTTCTCTCATAAACTGAAGGACTGAGAAGGGACTGAGAGAGAAGGACTGAGAGAAGGGAAATGCATAAGCAATATGTTAAATTGACCTGTCAGAGTCATTCATTTAAATTAAGTGTGCTAAAGTTATTCTATATGCCCTGGTTCCTTTTTATTAATTTGGCCACATACTTGGAAAAATTGCAATTTACCCCTTTAAGTCGCTCCTGCTGCTTTTACTCCTGAAGAGCTTCCCTATACAGTATGAGATCCCAGGGGTCATATGTTGTATCACCCATCCTTCACTCCATTTCAAGTGCTCACTCATACCTCCCTATCTGTCTTGGCTCTATGGCAACTACCTGCAGCTTCCCCCACAACACATACACACCATCTTCCTTACCTGGGACTTTCGCCTCTTCCCACTTAATGATTTGCACAGTCCTGAGATTATAATACCTGTCAGGATTGCTGTCACTGAGGAATTCATTCATATGATCCATCATTTACAAATACATCACTTAGCAATGGCAATCCCAATCACAAATGCCATCACAATCTGAGGACCACCTATACTTAAAACTTGGTAAGGTCATGTTTTTAAAATCTGTTTATGCATGCACAATTGAAATTAAGTTTGAAATAAAAATGTTGTAACGAGACTTTTCCATTGTATTAATTGATGTATCATATTTTCCCCAAAAACTTTGATCTGAAGTCTCATGAATAAAGTAGCATAAGAGTGCAGGTAGTCCCCAAGTTACGACCACAATTGAACCCAGAATTTATGTTGCTAAATGAAATGTTTGTGCCATTTTCCTTGCCACAGTTAAGTTAATCATTACATTCGTTAAGTTAGTAGCATAGTTGTTAAGTGAATCTGGTTTCCCCATTGACTTTGCTTGTCAGAAGGTTGCAAAAGGTGATCACATGACCTCAGGACACAGCAACCATAAATATGAACCAGTTGCCACCCATCGGAATTTTGAACATGTGACCAAGGTGATACTGCAGCGGTTGTAAGTGTGAAAAACGGTCTTAAGTCACTTTTTTCAGTGCTGTTATGAATGGTCCCTAAATGAACTGTTGTAAATTGAGGATTACCCATGTGGTGAATTCTACTGTATATCCCTTTTTTCCCCAAACCTAGAATATAGTTGGAATTGAAGAGGCTTTCTTTGTAAGTCTAACATTGTTCCATGTTGAGAAGCTGATCATTAGTTATGTATTCTTAAAACAAAACAAAGCAAGTCCAAACTTTATGTTTGTAACAGGAACATAGGGGCAAGTCCGGTTTAACAACTTTTTCCTTCATCTGTCAGCAGGAAATTTAATGAAGAGGAGGAAAACCTCACTGCTATTATATACACTATAATGTCATGGCTAACATATCTTCTTTAAAAATACTTGAAAAATAGTACAGAAAATGCAAAAAAAAAAAAAACCTAGTGATTGCAAATTTGTTTTGCATAATTTCTCAGATTCAATTCCTGATATCTCTGGGTAAAGAATATCATATAAAGAAAGACTATCTTTGAAAATATGTAAAGATGCAGGCTGCTTTGAGTTAAGCTCAGCTCCTTATGACTTAATGAACAATGCATTTTTCTGGGAAACAGTACAAAAATAATTATTAGCTTCAGATATGAATTTTGTCTCTTCAATCTGGTACTGGATCCAAATATTCTCTGGTAGCCTCTAATGCAGTAAAATATTATTTAATATCAATCTAGTTTAGTTCCTGTACCCAAATAGGATTCATTGAGTGCTCCCAACTGCTGAGGCATTCAGAACATGTACAGCATTCATAGCAGACAGTTCAAGTCTGTTAAATAATTTTTAATGCATGTATGTGTTCAGTGTTTATTAAAAGAATATTTGATTTTCTAAAGGATCTCAATGATCAATGAATAATTTATTAGGACGGGCTCACTTTATAATCAGAAATTTGATTTTAATCGCTTCGTTTAAGTATAATTTGTATAACTAATATCAGCAGAACTTCAGAGACAAATATGGCCTTTGGAAAGAAAGGAAGCATAATTTGTGGATCATGACCAAATCTGATTTTCAGGGTATGCAATTATTTGAGTAGGCCTCATACAACAAGACTGAATATGTCAGTGAAATATCAATAAAGATAACTGGATATTTTAACAATAACTCTATTACATCCCCATATGTATTTAATTATTTTATACCCTCTGCCAATAGATATTCAGCATTTGGGCATCTAGTCTTCATCTTTGTTTTGATTTACCAACCCTTGAGAATCTCTTGTTTTGTTACATATATTTCAAGCCTGCTAATTTTGTGTTTCATATGGATTTGGATACATAAAAGAGGAGATATACTATATTAAGTTATACAGTATAAGTTAACTTAGCTCCTTCTTAGAGAGTTTATATTTGTTAAAAACAAAATCCTAAAAATGTGAACATAAACTGAGAAAATCCTTTGTTCTTGAAACTTATATTTTAGGTTATTACCCAAACCTCTTTCTAATTTAAGTGAAGAGATCTCAAATTTAGCATGACACCCAATAAAAACCATAATCTACTTTGCCTTAAAAAAGGTACAAGGTGGATCAGAATTGCAATATCAGGTTTCAATTCAATTGTATAGAATGTGAAGGATGTGTGTTTGTGTTTTATTTTTATAGTTATAATGTAGACTGAAGATGACAATGACAATAAAGTAAACTAAACTAAACTAAAATTACATATATTAAAGTTTCTCTTTAATCATTGACACATTTTGGAGTTTTGTTTTTATATTTTCCAATCCAACTGAATTTTGGAAAGAAATTATGCAAAGGGCCCTGCAACTTTATCTCTCTGTTACCAGGATAACACTGAAAACTGAACATGATGGAAACAAATTTTCTATCTGGGGAGAAGCTGTTTAAAAAAAATCAAGTTTGGAAATGGCCCAGATCAGCCTGGGTGCTGTGGAGAAAATTTCAGAAAAATAAATCCCCAGTGCTTCCCTAAGGGAGAGACAATTTTCTTCAGAATGTTATTGATTATTGCCTTCTAGGGCTTGCTCCATCTTGGAGATGTGATCCAGAGCAAAAGACTATGTAGCTTACCCAGTGCTGCTCAGGGTGCATAAATACAAACACAAAAAGGTGCAAATGAGGGGAGAACAGGCACATGCAAACAATTGCAACATGTTAACTTTGTTATGCAGAAAATTATGCCTCTTATGACCGCTGTTAGTAAAAAGATTAGAAAGAATTCCAAAATCATCTTATTTTTTCTACTGTATGTTTTTTTTTTCCCAATGAAGAAAAATACCTTGAAACATCTGGGTGAGTTTTCAATTAGTTTTCAATTTGCAGCATATGTACCATAACTACTCAAACTCAGATGTAATTGAGATGGTTGTAGAAATTTTAGTTAAATCTTTTGACTTTAGTGTGAATGATTAATATAATAGCAGTATTGTATGTCTTACAAAAAATCATACTCTGTAATTACTGGGGCCCAGGTTCTTCAATTGAGTAATGGTGAGGGTTAAAACATAAAAGGTTAAGAATTACTTTGCTGAACTATGACTTGCAACATAACTTTAATGGAGATTTCCTCTAGTTTGGTTTTTGTTTAGAGAATGAGGAAGAATGGTAACAGCAATGCTGTTACTGACAGCATGCTGTTACTAAATGCTGTTACTGACATAACTCACCATCGTGCCTACCATCCCTGTCCTATTGTTTCTCTTACTCTTCTATTTTTCTTATATGTACCCATTTCATGTATTCACAACTATGTATACACTTATACTTATTATCTTGTAAACAATTGGCAAATCAAATAAATAAATAAATAAATAAATAAGTTAATAACTGGTTTTGTAAGGTTTCTAAGCAAAGTTATGCTCCATAAAATTGTTTTAAAAACTGGACAAACTAGTTGATTATGTTACTTTCCTTAAGTGGGTCAAGAAAATTGACATGTCATTTTGCTGGAATACATTTTTGGCAACTAGGAATATGTAGCTATTGAACTCTGATCCAGGATGAGCAGCTTCTTTAGTATGGCATTGACAGGAACAGTGGATGTGTCTACATTAAATTTTACATTCTTTTCCTTTGTGGGTCCAAATAGCTACATTTTCCTATTAATAATATAGTCAAAATGAAAGAACATTAAGACATTTCACAAATACCACTGATAACACATTTGCTTGGGTCAGTTTTTGTAAATTGTAGTTAAATGAATTTAAATGCATGGATGAGTTTCTAAAAGAAATTCGTTTTGTAAACCTTTAGAATCAGCTTTAATGGCATCATAATCTATGTCCCTAAGACTGAAAATGTTGTATATAACTGCAAAAAAGATAGCTATTCAACTAGCTGCATATGTAAAGTTGTTTTCCTTACCAATTATCAGGTTTATTTTTTTAAAATCCTTTATTTTTAAAGCTACAGAAAAAATAATGATTAGAAGTGTCAATATTTTAAACTCTTACAAATATTTTGAAACATTTTGCAATTTATTTTTCATAGATCGACTATGAACAATGTATGCATCCATTGTGCCATCCAGATCCTCAAAAAACTGGTTTTCCTGACAGACCATTTAAAAAAGGAAATTCCAGTTTAAAAGACATTCATTCATGTGAGCATCTCTTTGAAGCAACTTCATATACATTAAAGAAATCAGAGCACCAAAGAAAGACCGTTGTGATAAATGATACAGATGCTACTTTTGAATGCCAACCATTTTTAGAAGGAATGCATCAGAAGATGCACAGGTATAATAATTGGTTAAATATTTGAATAAAGTATCATTAAGTATTTTTTACCTTGGGGAATTTTATTTTTACATATCCAGTTTAGGGTACTTAAATGTACAATTCCAGTTTAAAATTTAGGCAAGTTTAAACCTTATCCTTGGTGATAAAATTTCCATTTTAGTTAATTACAAGAAAAAGTTTTGTGGCGCTTTCAAAATATGTTTTGTAATTTCAAACCATTTATTTGTCGGCAGATTTAATGATAGAGATAAAGAATATGAATCTTTGCAACTGGGAATTTGCACATACCATTGCTCATCTTCAGATGCAAATACCAAAATTGAGCAAGTAAGAAAGAGCCAGAGGATTGCCAAGAAAACCAGTAAGTATTGTTTTTGATGGTCTGTTTATAGCTAGAAGGCAATTTACTTTTTAAAATATGTTACTGTAGCAAAGTGTATGAGTTCATATTACAATGTACAACTTTGTATTAAAATGTGAATATTTTTTAAAGTTTGCATTGTTTTGGAGGAAATGGTTTCAATTAAAAGTAGAATTTCATTGAGACAAAGGAAGATTTATTTTTTTCAGACTCAGATGCAAAAGCAATCAGCATAAATACTTTCAGATTATAGTGTACTTTGATATGTCATCTTCCATCAAATCTGAATGGTAAATTCTCATCATCTGCATTTAATCCCTATTTATCCAAGGACATACAAGACTGATCTAGATAATTTGTATGATTAGATAAAAAGTTTAGTAGTGGGAATGTGGGCCACTATAGACGTACTTGTAGTTGTGATCTGAGAATCGTACATCCCACTCCAACATATATACACACACATACACATATATATATGTTATGACTCCCCTTCAAAATTCAAACGAGCAACACAGAAAGCAGCCGTTTCAAAAGTAAATCAAACAGAAAGGAGTCTCACAGGATAACGGCTGCCATAAATCACAGTCCACAGCAACAAGCTTTGCTCTGTTCAGCAAACCAGTCCTGGCAAAAATTCTCAAGCCTCAGAGCTTTGGCTGTAACTTCTCCACGCAATCAGTCACTTTGTTCCTGGCAAATTTTACCAGCCCAGCTGTGTCCTTTTATACTTGTTGAAGTAACGGGCTAATTTCCTTAATTACTGGCTCGCCCTCCTCCTTCGTTCCAGCTGGGTTTGCCTCCTCAAACGTCGTCTGTTTCTGACGTTTAACCATAAGTCTTCCAAGTTCTCATCTCCACTAGAAGACTCTCTCAAAACTTCCCTGTCAGCCATTCCCGGCTGTTGATCAGATAAGGAACCAGAGGAGGTCAAAGGTCCTGACAATTCCAATACTTCTGGTCTGTCTTCCTTTGTCACATCCATCTCCTCATCCTGGTTACTATTCCCATCACTGAGCAATGCCGGCTCATATTGTTCTGCCATGTCCTCCTCACTTGAACTCAGATCTTCCACAGGAGCTGAATCCAGACCCGGAGCCACAACATATATATATCGAAATACCACTCACTCATCATCACAAAATCTCCAAAACTATAAAGCCTACAAACTTGAAATTTGGCATGTATGTTCCTCTTGGCTTCTAGGTGCTCACTAAGAAAGAAATTTTTCGAAATGACCATCAGAGCATTAGTATTTCGTATATTATTATTAACACGTTCTGATGCTAAGGAGTTCTACTCCCCTTCCCTACCTGAAAAGAAATCTGTTCTAAATGCAAAACACAAGCAGAGGAGAGGAGTTTCACTTTCAGTTTTAGTTTCACAGAACCAAGCAGCTTTAGTACAGAACAGTTGAGCTAAGCCATGCCCAGTCTCCTTGCTGTCTCCTTGCTCACACAGCAAATACTGTTTCAGTTTCCAAACAGCCCTCAACTCTAGCCAGATGGATAATGATGGATGCTGGTACGCAGAGGCAGAATTTTTCCCCTAATTTTCCTCCCCCAAAGCTAAGCCCAACCACATAGTTTCGTAGCGAAGCACGGAGATATCTATAATCATTTTCAAATTGTTTCCCCTCAAATCTGAATGGTAAATTGTCATATGGCAAATATTAAGATATTTTTTTAATTTATTTTAAATAATTAAATTGAATTGTTAAATTGTTCCATAGTGAGTTGACTGTGGTGAGTTGTCCTGTGGCAAATTGACTGTGGCAAGTTGTCCCATTCATCTTCAGGGATACATTTCTTTGGGGAGTTAAAAACACAGCATTAACAAAAGTTTTTTCATCTCAACCACCATATTCCTCTGTTCTTTTGTAGGCTTCACTTAGCATATTATCAGATATATGAATAACATCAGTTGATGCTTTATTTAATATATGTCCTTTTAACCTTATATACTACTATATATATGTTGTAATGACGAGGCAGTCGAGGTGTTTGATCATGATCAAATGAATCATGATGACTTTATTGGAGTCTAGTCTTGTATTTATACACATTTTTAGTAATCCTCTAACATTGGTTAACTTTGGTTGTTGCTCAACTTTTGTTGCTGTTTAGCATAGTAATTAACACAATTAATTATCTCTAGTTAAAGTCTAACACATGTTTACTTCCTCTCTCTAATCCTTCTTTGCATTAGTGATTTTGTTTGCCTGAGTTGTATTTGCTTTTGTCCTTATCTGAGGTTTGCCATCAAGATAATGACTTTCCTGCAATTACAACTCTACATATATAACTTTATGTATTAATAACTACTCTGTGACAAGTAATCAAGTAAATAGTTTTAATTCCTTACAGATGGAAAGTCAGTAACTCTTGATGTTATCCAATAGAGTTCTTCCATAAGATGTTTTGGAAACAAAATATAAAATCATGAAAAATATGGCAGGTTGCAAATAGAAAACCATTTTGTTTGTTTCTCCTTTAAAATGTATTAAGAAGGCAAGGTGAGTGCATAATAAAAGTTTTGTTTGGAAGTACAACAATCTCTACTGAGAGACATGAGTTGTGCTACTTAACCATGTATGCAAATGTAAAATGTCAATTACATTTCTTGTTACAGTTTGCATAACAAATTAGAAGCAGGAGAACTGTTACATCTTTACACATTACTAAAACAAAAACACATGTTATAATTCATGCCATTTAATGCCATTAAAACATTTTCATTTGTTCCAATTTTATTTTACTTCTCAGGAAAGCAGACTATTTTTAATTATTACTCCAATGATTCCTCAGGTAATTACACTTCATTGTCTGTAATCAACAGAAGAGATGCTTTTGGTCAGACATTGTTGCATAGAGCTGCTACAGAAGATGACTTAGATGGTGTGTGTGCAATGATAAAAGCTGGTGCAAATGTTAATGCCCAGGACTATGCAGGTAAGTACAATATCCAACATAAATTTAGTTTTATAAAAATTACAGAATCAGTATTATTAAACTAAAAGTTCACATTTTTTATGATTTTATTTTGTCCAGTGAAACTAGTGTTCAGCTTCAAACTGGAATGATAGTTTCTTTAGATGTAACTTTCATGCAAGACTTTAAACGTTACTATAAGAGAAAACAGAATATAGATAGACAAACAAGCAGATTGTGTTCTCCCTATAATACATTCTGACGTATTTTGGAATAAATGGGAGTATCTTGCTTTTTTTAAAAAAAGAATGAACAAGTTGAATGGCTGAGTAAAACTTGATCTTCATAACAATACTTACATGAGTCTAATGTTAAACAGACTTTTTTTGAAATTGATGGGAATTTAGTATATAAATTGTATTGAAATGGAAAGTAAGTCTGTAGAAAATAATTATACAATAATGACTTTGGTCCACTTAGAAAAAATAATAATGTATTTTTCACTTCTATAGGTTGGACTCCGTTACATGAGTCCAGTTTGGCCGGTTGGTTTGAAATATCAAATGAACTTTTAAAAGCAGGAGCTGATGTTAATTGTAAAGGATATGAGCATGTAACACCATTACACGATGCTGTTAAAGAAGGTCACTACAAGGTATAACTTCTATCCCTGAAAGTATTCTATAAAATGTTTTGCATGATGCTTCGGCACGTCACATTGCATGTTTCCTTACCTATGCTTACAGTAATTAAAAACTAACATAAGTTGAGTTTATATTCCCAGTAAACATATATTTCTCTCTGCCATAGGATTCAGCTTTTAATTTGCAGGAACTTAAAAATACATCATTTTCTAGGCTTGCCTATTGTACTAAGTGAGAATGCAGCACACAGTGATGTCTCTGTGGCTGCTGCATTATATTATGGAAATGGACTGTGTTTTGGTCCAAGTAATAGATGTCTTAATGATCTTTATTCAGTGAGATTAGAGGTTGTGTTGTAAAGCGAAGAAAGGAAATGCCATGTATCTTCTGTCTGTGATTGCAGTATCCTAACTGAAGAAGAAATCATCTCTTCAACTATCAACTAGGTTGAGTCTGTAAAATATGTTGCTAAGCGATACTAGCTAGATTAGTTATGACTGTCTAATACTATAAAGAAGCTTCATTTTCTTCAGTTTTGAATTATTCTTTGCACCAATTTTGGGAATAATACGGAAATAATTCAGCCACCCTGAAGCTCCATGATAATGCAGGAAGCCTAAGTTCTCTTGTGCAGTACATACATCTGCTCCAAGACTTGTTACAAGTTCTATTGCAATGTATTCCTTTCCTATATGAGAGTGACTATTCACCAGGGGGCACTGTAACATTTCCAAATCTGTATTCCTGAGCATGCCTTTTTTTTTTGCCTCCAAATATTTAGCAAATTTTGCTTTAATCTACTTCTAGTTACTTGACAGTTAATTAAAATATGTATGTAGATACATATTCCATAAATGTGGACATTCTGAACAGTTTTCTTATTAATCATCTGACTTACTGATTTATAAAGTGATTTTTTTCTAAAAATAATTAATTCTTCTCACTACTCATTGCTAGTGACTACTAGTCACTAGTTAATCCTAAAGTAATTCATTGTTCTCATCTTGCCTGGTCCCTACATGCTTGTACTTGACTTTTTACATATAGTATTAATGATACAACTCAACCTTTGATTTTTAATGTTTTGCAAAAGTATTGCAAAGCAGTCAAAAGGCAGTACTTATCACATCTCTTTTATAAAGTAAGTGTTTTTCATTTGCTATGCCCCTAAATATATATTCAATCCTGAATATATTTCAGGATTGAATTCTAAATCTACCTACTTCACTTAATGAGTTATCTTCTAGGCAGACTTGGATATATTTGATACTTTTCTTCTGGACAGCTCTTTTTTTAATATAATGACAATGGTTAAGATGCCATATGGATATTTACCACATCATAAAGCTATAAAATAAAACACAATAATTTATCATGTTCTGTCTGCAGATTCAAGGTTAGGATAACTTCGTTTTCATGGGTTTCTTGGTAGGATATTTTTCCTATTCAGTGTTTTCACCTGCAGCTGCTTCTGTCATCTTTTGTTCATAGAACTGAAGGCTTGGAAAAGGTGTCAACTGAATATAACTCAGTTCTTCATTAATGAGGTTTACCATTCTGACACTATTTTTCACTCAAATGGGAACTGAAAAAAAAGTAGCACTGCCATCTAGAGGCTTGGATATATTGTTTCTTTTTTCTTCTATTTGTTTATGTATTTGTGCTATACTCAAGGACTCTGAGCTTTGCACTGGAAAAGATAGTGGGATGAGCATGGCAGATTGTTTACGCAGGTGCCCATCTGTGAAACTATTGATAACTAGAGTCTGGAGTTGAAGTTGAAAGAAAGAAGATTGAAGTGACCTTGAAAATACTGGATCTAAAACTGAGTTGACTTATTAAAGAGCCTTGGATACTTAGTGGCAGTGACTGGCTTTACATTAGAACTGTTTGTTATTTTTCACTTCCTTTTTTACTCCCCCTCCAGTTGGATTTTTATATTTGGATTTCAACCTTTTACTCCAGGAACTAGAATGTAAATTTTTTATTCTTTTTGCTCTCTTCCTTTTCTTCTTCTTACTAAGAGAAATAATTGGATTAAGATATACAAGTGCCTGAAGATTTTTTTTCCTCTTTTTATTTTTTTGGAGTGGCAATTGCCTGCCTGTGCTCTTTTTTTTCTTTTTTCTTTAAATAAAGTTTTATTGAGTTTTAACAAAACAAATAAAACATCTTATTTGAGTACAGCATGGTTCCAGGTTATCACATTTCCATACAGACACAATTTCATATGCATATTCATCTTATATATTCAACTTCATATCTTATTACTCTTTTTCCAACTTCTCGCTATTTCTCCTTTTATTTCTCTTAATTTTCTTTCATGATTATCTCATTTTCTTCTTATTTAATTGTATTTATTTTACCTAAATTTCTATATCTTTTTATTCATTATACTTATACTTTCGTCTGTCTTGTTTACAATTTCATTATGTTCTCTTCCAACATTCTTAAAAAGCAAAATTTCCTCTATAATTGCCAATCGGAGTGCAACACCTTTAAGTCTTATTGTTTTTATCATATGAAATTTCATTAAACATTAAATTTAAGCATTCTAAAATTATAACATTCAAATTTCAAATATCTATTTTATATCATGTAAATCTAATCATTCAGACTCTGCTTGGTACTTCCCCTTAAAAATGTAAAAAGAAAAGTTCTAAAAACATAGCAAAGACAATATATGTATATAAACATTAGTGAAAAAAATAATTATTCAAATTCATTCTGGTACTGGTATGAGCCTTGTAAATCTTTCACGTTTCTTTTCAATATTTATCAATCTTTGAGAACAGTTGAAATGTTTCCCTCCCTTCTTCATTATTACTTAACCGTTAATAAGCATACCATTGAATAGTCATACAATTTTATCTTATAAGTTATTTACTATTAATAAGCAAAATAATTATTCAAATTCATTTTAGTAACTGGTATAAATTTCCTTGTAAATCTTTCACATTTCTTTTCAATATTTTATCAATCTTTAGAAACAATTACAATGTTTCCCTCTCTTCTTTATTATTGCATTAACTATAAATAAACATACCATTACATAACAATACAATTTTATCTCATAGATTATTTACTTATTTCATTTCTAACTCATTACAGTATTCTACTGTCACAACACTACCTTTTGTATCTTTGCAGAATCCTCACTTTTAACTTAATTTAGCCATTGTCTCTGTGTTTTCTAGCTGACCTTTAATCCTAGTACGTTTCCCCTTTTTCTTTTTTCCTGTTTTTGTCCCTCATGAGTTCTTTCCCTTTCTATCTCCCCCCCCTTTTCTCATCCCTTTTTTTATACCCTTCTCTCTCTAATTTTCTCTTCTGTGGTTTTCTTTTCTGCTTCTTCTTGCTGTTATACTTCCTTTTCAGGCTATTTTTCTTTTTGGCAGTTCCCTTTGATCTCAAACTTTTAATTCCTTTCCCCCTTTTTCCCCTTATTACCACGCTTTGCATTATTTGATCATCGAAAATGGCTTCTTCTTTGTCCCGCCCTTCTTCTTGCTCTTGAAGCTTTTCCTTTTGCTTTTCATAGTTCAGGATCTCCATTTCAAGAAATTCAAATACGAAGCCAAAGGATCTTCCTCCCCTTTCTGCATCTTTCTGTTTTTTAAGACTCATCTTCAATTCCTCCAGGAGTAATGCTTTAAACACTTTTGAACAACCACCTGATTGACTTTAAGTAAAAACAGAAAAAGAAAGAAAAAACCAATGCCAAAAACTTTTTTTTTTTATATCACCAAATGATCCCAGACTGTTCCTTCTTGTTTCTTTCCTTTACTTTTCCTTTCCGTGGATTTCTATATCTTTTAATAAGGTTTCAGTTACAAAGTATTCTTGGGAGGCTTTTCAAAGTTTCGCTGTTAATCTTTATTTTTCCAGGTGGTACTCCATTTTTTCATTATTCCAAGTTCCACTCTTTTGCCTCCACTTTTCTACTTTTTAGGGCTTTAAAATGACCAAAGAAAAAATCTTTATTCTCCTTTGACACTTAAATTTCAGCTTAAAGTTGCCTATTAGTGTCAAAATAAATTAATATAGATTTCTTTCCATACCATTTGCAATTGTCAATATAAAGGTAAAAAAGGGTTTTTAACCTCCTTTTCTCTCTCCTTCGCCGCTTAAAAGTCTTCTTTCAGAAGTATCCCTCTAAGTACTTTTAGATTCAGGGTACCTTGCTTAGATGTTCTCTGTTGTTTAGCCCGGTCTGTCCTGCTTTCCTCTTTGTCTTCCTTCTGCACAATCTTATCCAGTCGGGTTCTTCTTTGAGGTGGCCATTTCTGACCACCGCTGCAACCGCCTTCGGGAAAGGGAGTTTAGACCAGCCAAGGAGGAGAGATGCGGCTCCCCTCCACTCAGCTAGCAATCTCCCCCCTCTTCACCACCTCTACGGGGTGGCTTCAGCCCCGAATCCAAAGGATTGGGGCGCTCCAGCGGTGAGCACAGATTGAAACCGCCCACGATCGCGGATTTTGGTCTGTTGCTGAAGAAACCCAAACCAGAAGTCCTGCTCTTTTTTTTTCTTTTTCCTTTTTCCTTTTCTCTTTTTTCTCTTTCTTTCTTTACAGATAACTACTACAAGATGAGCAGAAAGACAACAGCCCCAGCTTCCTCAATACCAATAGCCTCTTCACCATCTGGAGGACAACGGTCAATACAGACAATCCTACAACAGGAGAAAGAGAAGGAGGTGACATTACAAATGATTATGCAAGGAATTCCAAAGATTGAAAAGAGAATGGAGAATATCGAGCAAAGAACTGAAAAGTCAGAGGAGAAAGCAGAAAATATTCAACAGATGATAATGAAATATGAAGACAGATTTAAAAAAATTGAAGAAGGTATACAAAGGGATAAGAAAATTGGAGATATTGATACTTGATTGAGCGATGTTGAGAAGGGCAGGTGTGAACCATTAGGATGGGAAATTGATAGATCAGAATTCTACTTAAGATTTCAAAATGTAGAAGAAGGAAAAGGTGAAAATCTTGCTGAAATAATGACA